AAAACTGACTAATTATCAGATACATATATACACAATTTATATTTCAACCCAATAAACTTCTTCATTCTTTCATTTCAAAACCAACAGTTTTTAAATGTAAAATTAGAAACTTACCTCAAGTTGACTTCCAATTCAATAGATTTAAAAGCCTGCAACTTAGGACTTGCCTTAGGATTAACTGATATTTTAGAAGTTACTTTCTCAACTTCTTTAAGTTTATTGTACGAGTCATTGAATTTGGATAAAGATGCCTTCAATTCTGCTAATCGAGAGCTCCTACTTAATTTGAGTTTCAGCGTATTGAGGGAAGAGTCTTTAGGCTTTTCACTAATTTTATCCATTGCATTGGAAGACTTTACTGGAGAAGCTGGAGGAGTGAAATGTTTTTCTTGAATATCCCCAATAGGGAGATTTACATTGGATGCAACTGTTTCTTCTGAGCAAGCTTTTGTAACGAACTTATTCAAATTTTGTTGCCCCTTGGTTCCTAAAACCACACGTTTCTTGAGAACAGATCTGGGCTTAATAACATTTTTAGCCATACTATCATTATTATTTGTTATATGCACTATCTTATTTGGGGCCAATTTTTGGAGATCTGCTGATGATGATTCGTCACTCTCAATGCATTTAGATGTATCTTCACAAATTCCCTTATCCTCCTCATCGTCAACTATCAAGACTTTTCTAGCTCTATTAATTTTAGCATCTTCGTTTGCAACACGCTTTCTAGTATTAAAATAAGCAGCTACTGAAGGTTGAGACATGATGGTGATCAATTTATTATTTTCTAAATTATTTCGTAACCAATGTGTTTAAAAACAAAACAACTTGACGGTTAATTCCCTCCAATAATGATGTCATTTCTGTTCGCACAGAACACAATTAATTTTGAATAATACGGCTTCTTCCTCGTTATGTATCAGCTTCTATGACCACTTATATTTTTTGGTAATTTATAATACTTTTGCAATGATTAAGACAAATATAAAAATCAACTCAATGTTCACTTGTTTATTATACATTATATGATAATAAATAAATAAAAATAATACGTTTTAAGAAATTTGATTAAAATATTATACCGATTAAACTAAATTTGGATTTAATTAAACTGAATTTTCTATAAGTACAGATCTTTATATATCTTTTTACTACATTTTACGCTATTTGCAGTAATTGAAATAAATAAAATATTTGTATAAGGGACGTTAATTTTATCCATATATTTCTGAAAATTTGTTGAGTAACAATGAAAATGTATGTGATTGTTTTTGATATACCAGTAATACTGTTTAATTACCATTGAGAAGAAATGAAAATTCATATAACTTCAAAAATAGCCGCATATGCGGCTATATGGACTATATAGTCCTGACATATCGGAAAAAACTAGAACAGAAAAATATCTGTTCATTATACTTTGAATGAACTTTCATTCACTTTTATCAATTCTCTGCGCATGAAATAATTTCACGAAAATTTTGAAATATGCAAACAATGATGTGTCGTTTGTTCCTTTTTTTTTCAATTTGATACTGAAGGAAATTATAATACAAATCTTAAATTTTAAGGAAAATAGAGTAATACTTCATTTTCATATTAAAAATTTATGTTACTATAGGTTTTTTTAAATTATAAATTATTTGTTACACTAAAATATCATTTAAGATTTTCTGAATAAAACTGTTTTTATATCTTAATTTTTCGTAGGTTCGTCCGCGACACATATTTAAAAAACATCAATTCATTCATATTTCTTAAATTATAAATATGCATATTTAACAATGAAAAATCTACTTTGAATTTCAGATTAGAATTTACATAATTACTTAACTCAAGACAAATTCAACTTATATACCCTTTCATGAATACATTGTTAAAAATTAATTATTTGATTTAGTTTGGTAAAGATTAATTATAAAAATTCATATTACTTAGAATGATTAATTCAAAGATTAAAATTATTGATTAATTTGAATTTCGATTTGAAATATACCCATAGCCGCTTTTAATTAGTTCATAATTGTAGCATTTGAGCTAATAAATTAAAAGAGACTCAGTTGGCAAAACTTTTCATTTTAAGCTATTAAAATATAAGAAATTGTACTAATCATTCTCGAAAACTTAAAATGATTAAATCTAGAAACATTTATCACATTTTAAATAACTTAAATGCTTTTATTGGAGGCACAATTATTATTAGAACTTATTTTTATGTATATTGAATCATAATATGTATATATATTACTACAAAATTGTAACACACACACAAAAATAAAACTCATAACACTGAAAACAAGCATGTTATTACTAAAAATATTTTATATATAATATATATATATATATATATATATATATATATATATATATATATATATATATATATATATATATATATATATATATATATATATATATATATATATATATATATATATATATATATATATATATATATATATTTCAATATTTTTAGTAATGACATGCTATTTTCAATGTTATGAGCTTTATTTTTGTTGATGTTTAGTTGTATATCACAACTTTGTCAAAACTAATGAATAATTGAATTTTATGAATTACCATAGATATCAAAAGGTCAAACTAATTTTTTTTTATTAAATTGCGCTTTTGTTTAGTATTTTATTTTTAAATAGAAAAATGAAATACTAAATCTTATTATTTACTATTATATTATTTTTTTAGTAATTTTTATATTTGATTTTTTTCAAAAAAATAAGTTTGACGTTTTGATATTAATAATGGTAATTCATAAAATTCAATTGTTCATTAGTTTTGACAAAGTGGTGATATACAGCGAAACGTCAACAAAAATAAAGCTTTTAACATTGAAAATAGACTATTATTGCTAAAAATATTAAAAATAAACAGACAATCTCAGACAAGAAATTAATTTCGAAAGAAAATATATATATAAAATATATATATATATATATATATATATATATATATATATATATATATATATATATATATATATATTATAAAATGTAACGTAAAAAATCAAAACATTATATACAAAAAAGATATCTTTTTCTCTGTGTTTGCCAATTAATAAAAATTATTCAATATCAATAAAAAAATGTTAAAATTGAATGACAACCATCTCTTTTGACAACCAATTGAATCCCATGAGTCATTGTAGGAGCAATTAAAATGACTTCTCAATGATAACCATATAAAACAAATTTTCAATAATGTATAAATTATATTTTTACTCATATACATAATAGATATATGTAGTGAATATAATTAATGAACTTTTTACATTTAAATACTATATTGATGTAATATACAATTCAATTATTATCGTCTCATACCAAGCTACAAAACTGAATTACTCGAATGTGTCGTGAATTTTGGGACCCAGTAGTTAGACAAAAAAATGGCATGACAATCCCACAGTGAGATCTTCGATTAATTATCAACATCTTGTATTCGTGGGATCCTAAATGAATTCCTTACATATAAGAAAGTAGTCTATAAAAAGAAGAATAGAATACTCAAAATGAAGGGAATCATACAAAAGGAAAAAATAATATGAATAATAAATTTATTACAATTTTATACAGCCACATCTCAAGTTCTTATATATTACATGAAAATTGAAAACCTTCATTATCAACTTCGCACTTCCTACAGTAGTATAAATATAAATTAGAATATTTATTGAAGATAAGCCATAAATATAAATATTTCATATGCCTATAACCTATCTTGACATACTTCACATATAGGAATGAAATACTAGTTATAAATGTGTTACAAGTTTCTAATCTCACAGACATACATCCATATCTCCAATCTCATATACATACATTGTGAACAATATGTATACATATTATCATATAAAATGTAATCATAACATAGCACTTATTCCATTTATTTTACAGTCTTAGTTGAAAGACTTATCCGACATTTGTAATATAAAATCGTGTTTATTAAAATTTTACGATATATATAAATATATAACCAATGTCAAATAAATCTATATATATCCAATGAATAATAAAGAATAACCAAGCTTATTTATCTTAATAAATAATACCTTATGAAGAAGATTGTTTATAGTTTTTTGTACTAATTATTTTCTTGCCACACATAGCACAGATACCCTTTTTATAAGCACAGGCTTGACAGTAATGGGATCCTACTTGATGAACTTTTTGGCGGCAGATTCTATAAGAGAGAGATTTTAATATTGTACAACTTCATAAGCAAAATATACATTTTACCTGCATGACTCAAACTTCGTTGTGTAAGGATTGAACCGAAGTTTATTAGACAATGCTTTATTTTCGTTCACCTTTCTACCTCCCCCTTCAGTTGTATTTCTAGCACCATTTTTCCATGGATCGGGTGTTACAACTTTTCCCAATTTTTGTTCACATTTTCCACAAACCATTATATTAATCTGAATATAAATTGCTGTAAAAAAATTAGTATGTTTTAATGACTACTAAAAACATTGAAATAGTAAGGTTAATATTTTAAGTGTATTACTACACGAAACTATGAGACACTCACAGTGTAGCATTACTGTTAACTGCATTCGTACAATGATTGCAGTAGAAATTCTACGCCATGGTCACCTTTATCTATGCTAATATTATAAAGAGGAAATATTTGAATTTTGTTTGATTGCATTCAATGGGCTCAGAACTATTGCACCGATTTGAAAATTTCTTTCACTGTTGGGAAGCTACTCTATCCTCGGGTCTCGGCTGACATAGGCTATATTATATTCTCAAAAAAAAAAATAGGCATCCTTACTAAAACTCAAATAATGTAAGCCAAGGTATAAAAAAATTACCTTATGTATTCTTTACTGCGAAAACTATTGGTGGTAGAATAAAATAATGCATTAAGACTTTGAAGAACATCATTATTTACATTAACTGTCGCAACAGCGGATGTCTATTATAGTTTGCCACGATGCAACGAGTGTTGTTTATTGAAGAAATAAATTCAAAACGGTCGCCTCCGTGGCTAAGCCGGGAAAACATCCGACCATGGTGCGGTAAGATTCGGGTTCGAGCACCGATGAAGGCATAGGTGTTTGTCAATGATTTATGTAGTTTAATGATGATAATTGTTGGGTAATGTACATTGATTACAAGCCCATTGGCCCTTCGGACCGGCGTTAAATTTTAGGTATATTTGAAATGCCGCCGCTAGAAAAGGCATCTCATTTCAAACTCGTTATAAAAAGAGCGGAGTTCGCATCTGGTATCCGGGAGCGTTACGCGTGGGCAAATACAACTGAAAAATAAATAATCACTCGAGTTTAAAACGGTTGGAAAAAAGCCAACATATACAGTTGCAGTGATCAAGTTTTGTGCATTCAAACTGATCATCTCAAGAATATATTTAGGTAAATTCAGCAAAGATCGTCAAGAAAATTGTAAGTACACAAATTTGAAAATGGAGGACAGAAATTCGCAGACGAGGACAAGGTTTTAATTTCAGAAGAAAATGAGAGTATATTGGTCCGAATTTGTCTTCCCGGTTGAGATAGAAAACTGCAAAATAGTAAACTACTTGAAAAATTATGAACTAACTAGTGAAAACTATAAGGAATGAAAAATGGAGCGACCTGGATATATATCCAGTTGAAAATGGTATAAGAACGGTAATTATGACAATGAAAAGAAAAGTTCCATCCTATGCGACGATAGAGGGTTGCACTGATCTTGTCACATACAAGAACCAAATAAGAACATGCATGATATGTCATAAGGAAAACTTGTCCGTTATCAAATAAAATTATAAACATAAGAAGACCCGATTTACCAAATGTGGCAAACAGTAATGTAAGCTATGCAGAAGTCATACAGGCTGGTCGCAGTGAAGAAATAAATAAGGAGATAACACAGGAGGTAGAAGAAAGAGATCAGTTAGCAACGAAGCAGAATCAGAGGAGCAAGAGAGGAGTCGGAGGAGCAAGGATGAATTTGAAGAACAGGCATCGGAGTGGACATAGAAATATCTCCGGATATAACTAATTGAGGATTCACAATCAGTTGAAAAAAAGTGTACTAGTGAGACACCCGCGAATTGACAACGACAAAGAAATAGAAAGAAGGTATGCGCAGTTCTAGTGAAGATGAAAAAAAATTCCAAAGTTAGTTTTGAAAAAAGTTTCAGTATCCAGCAACGGAGTCGATAGATATGGAAAAATTCGAGTCAGTTCAAAATATCGTCAGTGCACACTGTTAAAAATTTCTCTGGAAATTTTACCAAAAAGTTTAGGAAATTTTAACGCAAAACAATTTAGTGAATTTACTCAACAAAATTATACAAGTTTGTCAATTCAGTTCGATAAAAATACAAAACATTTTATGAAATTCACAAAGTGATAATAAAAAATAATTTAAATAAAATTGAGTGGTTTTGTGATTTTCACTATAATTAATTTCAAACGTGACAATATTGTTTCGCCAACACAGTGGCTTCATCAGATCTTGATATAAACTGAGCTATTACATTGTGGACTGCTTGCATTTATCCTGATGGAAATGACCATAGAACATTGTTGATGTTCATTCAGGATAACTGCAAGCAGTCCACAATGTAATAGCTCAGTTTATCATCAAGATCTGAAGAAGCCACTGTGTTGGCGAGACAATATTGTCACATTTGAAATTAATTATAGTGTAAGGCGGCCAACCGTCCCGCATTCTGCGGGACCGTCCCGCAATGACAGTAGGCATGATGACACTAATAAAAAATCACAAAAATACTATATTTATTTGATAAAACTTGAAGCTTAGGATAAAAAACACGCATTGTTTTTTTTATTAAGAGTGTGATTGATATATATTATTATAAAATAGAACTACAAAATAAGGCAATCCGCCATGATATCTTGAACACCAATCAGAGCTCATGACGTCATTGTCAAGTAAACACCCACGGCGCCAAAATCACATTTCGTATTGTTAACCTCCACTACGACTGTGTTTTTATTTTTTAATTCAATTTCACTATTTGAGTGTGAATGTTATTAAAATCAAATTAAAATAACACGAGTTATGGATCAAGGATTTATTAAGGCAAACAGCGCTAATTTGCCTAGAATCGACATAATAATGTTGGGAGAATTTTTGGTATCAAATAAAGACTTTTGTTCAGCAGAATTTAGAAACGTTAAAACTTCCATGCAAGTATATTAATAGTAAAAAAATAATTAAGAAAAAAATTAATGAGTGTGGATTAATGCTTTCTAAAAAACTATCCTATGATAGCAGGATTACCCGATGGGACATGTGGAGACAAATGTTATTGAAATTAAGTGTCCCATGAGTGCCAAAACTTTTAAAAATTATATAGTCGATGGTAAACCAACACTTAAATTTTATGCGCAGATGCAGCTCCAGATGTACGTAACAGGTCTTTGAAAAGGCTACTTTTGTGTAGCTGATTCCAACTATAATGAAAATAAAAAAGAAGTAATTTGTGTATCATATGATGAAAATTATGTATCAAATTTTTTTAATGTTATAGTCACTTCATAGAAAGAAAATATATATCTATACTATACCAAAGTATTTTATAATTCTTATGTAAATAAAACGCAGCATTAAAACAAAAACACTTTTATTTAATTAATGAATCTTGTAAGTTTATTAAAGCACAGGCAATGGTGATGACATCATCAAGTACTTTCATTAAATTATGATTTACACAAGCATGTGGTTTTAACATATTAAATCCCCATAGGCATCGAATTACTCTTCACATGTATTCTCAAACTAGCAAGTTTTTTCGTTTCTCTTGCCTCATTTTTTGATAATTTAGATCCAGTTGTAACACTTGGAGGCCGTACTAACTGCACTCCCTCTTGTCTTAAATATTGTTCTATATGTTTGAATCTTCTGTCAGCCATCACACACATACCAGGTTGCAAACACTTTATAAAATCACAAGATTCGACAATATATGTATCTGTTATTCTTCCCCCATAACCTGGTGAAATATAATTTACTAAACCATTAGGTGTGCAGGACACAAGATATTTAATGGTATTAGTTTTTTTGTACTCTGACCATGAGAGTGATTGATTTAAAGCTTTTGAACCTCTTTTTCTAGACAGCCTATGATGCAACTTACATTATAGTATTTGTGCCTAAAAGCCATGGGTAAATTCATTTTTATACAATGCTTATCTAATTTTGCAATAAAAGGACGCATTGCACTAGCTATTAATGGTATACTTTTTAGAAATATTTTGCTAGCATATGTTGGATTCATTGAAAAATCATCAGCAAGCTATCTGAATGGGTTATTTGATCTAATTTTTCTTAAACACATAAGTATATGGTTTGCAGGAATTCTTAATTCTTCTTCAATTAAGCCCATTACGTACATGGTGATGATTCTATGTGCGTTACAGATGGTGTATAAGAAATATCAATATCAGATTCTTCCTCTATCTTGAGTAATTTCTGTATGTTGGACAGCGATGGTTTAGCAGTAATGTTACTATTCATTTTAAATGGTGATGTAGAAACAGATGATGTAGAATGTTTCATAGGTGATGTCATTTGATTTACTAAATTAGTTTTCGTTTGGGTGGCTTTACTTCGAAACTTATTTGCATTTTCTTGTGAAATATTGCTCATGGATGCTTGTGAAGCTGAAAAAGACAAAAAAATAAATTTATAATATATTACCTTCAAATACTTATTTAAAAAGAATTTAAAAAGATTAATGAGTGGAATAAATTTGTATTAAAAATAACTACCTACCTGAACTTCCACATGACACCTCTTCAAGTTCCACATGCTTTGTACCTATTTCCTCTAAATCTTTCAGACATTCTTCTATCAATGTCTTTCTTTGTTTTTTGAGAATATATGGTCTTTCTGTAGCATCTGATGTTCGTTTTCTTCTATCTGGTTGACATTGAAATTTAGTGGGCATACACCCTGGTTTCATGCGGATCTCTGACACTGATCCCATCAGATGATATTCCATATAATTATCCATGTCATTTGGTAACTGAAATTTGAATAAAATACATAATATAACATCAATGAGATGAAATTTCGAGGTTAGACCTCTAAATAGATTGTTTATATTTTTACTTTTATACCTCGTACAAAATATTATTACCAAATATTATATAGTATACTAGAATCTACAAAACAATGTGAAAACTTACATCAAAGTGATCCTCACAAAATAAAGGGCAGTACTGGACAATATTGCATTTGAATCTCGCCTTGCAAGTTGAAGCCACTTGTTTCGTGTTGTTTTATTTTTAGGAACGAATACAAATAACTTATTAGGACTTTTTATGGATGTGTTTGCACACTGTGGGATCCCACACCACTTATACACTTTCGAATTCATTTTTAATAACAAAAATAATTAAATTATTGCACGAACTCAGCGCCTAGTGTTTAAGTTACCGATTATTGACGTCACAAGCCCCGCCATGACACTGACAAGCGTTTTAGGTAAACAAGTAAATTTATCTTTTAAAATTGCATTTTTTTCTTATTAAACTCTTGATTTCTGCAGAAATATCTTATTTTTTGTAAATAGTATACATTTGTGGACATTATAGGCTCGTTTTTCAAAAACTGTCATCATGCCTGTTGCAATCCCGCATTGCAATATTTAATAAAATAGTCCCGCAAATCGTCTAAGGCGTCCCGCATGTCCCGCATTCCTCGTTTCCCATCGTTTTGCTCGCATAAAAGTGTTCCATATCAAAATATGAATGACGAGACGCCGTTGCTGCCGCAGTCACTGCGGCGCAGTGTATCATCAAGCGTGTGTGTGTGTGTGTACGGCTGCGAGAGAGAGTCTGTTCGACGAAGTAAGTTACGTGGCAAATTATGTGAATAATGATGTCCTAAAGAGATGGGAGGAGATGAAGAGCAGTACAGAACAGCGATGGATAGAGGTGTTCAAACATTTCAAAGACAGCGGAATACCGTTCCAGAATTGCCTGGCCATCGTCCAGTACCTACTTTGTTTGGCAGGAACAAACGCTCCTACGGAACGAGTTTTTTCCTTAATGAACAGCTTATGGACATCCG